CAGGGACTCTTTCCTTCGGCAGATTAGACTCTTGGGTTCAAAATTATTTCCCTTCCCAGCTGGTAGTTTACCAGCATAGGCTTTCTAGGTCTCCCTCAAAGGACTGTGTAACCTCCAGGGACACATAACAGAGAACCAAAAATCACACCCCACCCAGACCTTCATGGTTACTGTGGCTCTCATAAAGTCCTAGTCCTCACCTTCAAGACTCAGGTGCTAGAGAGATGCTTACTCTCCCCTTCCTCTCTCTTTTCCTGTCTCTCTCTTTCCCCTCTTTTTGTTCCTGGAATTATCCAGCCTCTCCAGGAAGGGTACCAAAAAGCTTTGGCCAAGGTCTCTCATGGCTCTGGCTCCATCCAGGAGGAGAGCTTCCACTGTCAGGATTTGGTGATGACCAATCTCTGCAGCTTGAACCTGCTACTAAGGCACTCCTAATTTTTGGCTCTAGTGGGGATGCCCCTTTTGCCAATATATCAGTTTCCTCCTCCTCTCTTATACTATCTTTGTGTCTTCTTCCCTCTCCCTTATACTATGTTTGTGTCTCCTTCCTTCTCCCCTATACTACTTTGCGTCCTCTTCCCTTCTCCTTATACTACGTTTGTGACATGGGTAATGTGTCCTCTCTGCCTGTCAACTGTCCCCTACAATGCCTCTTGGATAACCTCAAAACCCTCTCTTTGACACCACACATAAAACCCCAAAAATTTATCAAAAATATAGCACCCAGCCCTGGCCCACTTATCCCTTTAACAACCAAAGCAGATGGCTCTCTTTTGGGTCCCTGGATCCCTCCATTCTAAGAGATCTCTACAATCACTGTGAGCGTTCGAAAAAATAGTTAAAGATCACTTTCTTCTTGCTCCATCTCAATTATGCTCTCTGCACCTCTTGCAAACATCTACAAATTCTTCCAGCTTGCAAATCAACTCCCCCAACCATTGATTCCCAACTTTCTCCTCCTCCGCACTCATCTACTACTTTTGACCCTGCTAATAAAACTCCATCCTATAGCCTGGCTCCAGTAAGTCCTCACCCTCAGCCATCTGCCCCAGACTCTCTGCCTTCACTCCCACCTCAGTAACCTGCTTTCTTCCCTCCAAATACTAGATCAAAAATGTACATCACCACTCTTCCTCAGACTCTTGCCCCCTTGCTGAGGTAGCAGTTACTGAAGGAATCCCTCCACCCACTCACTCCTCTCTTCTCCTGTCAGTGCCCACACTCAGTCCCACCAGTTCCTCTTACCAGCTAACCCAAAGCTCAAACCAGCTGAGGAGAGCCCTCAGACCTCTATCCGAGATCTGGTGAAATGGCATTTAAAGTTGCTTTGTCATCATTAGAAACAGGTTACTAAGAATTAAAGTCCCTTACAGGCTTTTTGAGATATTCACTCCTGTCTTCCCCTCTGCTCTACCTGTTCTACTGCTGAAGTTTTTCTTGCTAGGGAAAATCCCAAACCCCTTTCCCATTATTCTTTTACATCTTCTTCTTCATTCTTAGATTCACCTGAGCTGCTCTCAGCCCAATCTTCCTGTCTCCCCCCTCCCTACACAGGCCCACAGAAAAGTCTTAACTGACATTCTCCAGCAATATTCACCATGGCTGATTTTAGGACTTTCAGCAAAAGAATCTCTACAAAAGAGTTCAGTGTAGATAAACTTCCTATTTTCATGTTGCCCTGTTTTACTTGGCTACTGTCGGAAAAATCAGAACTCCTTATGGTGGACACCTCCTTACTAGTTTTTCACAAGTGCTGACTACATTTCTAAGATAAGGGAGTTACTAACTGGGCTCCATTAAAACAGCTGGCAGGGGGAGGAATGAAAGGGAAGAAAAAGCTCTCCCCTTTCCAGGTGTCCTTGAAGGGTTAACTTTCCCAGAACAGAAAAGAAAAAAAACTGCTTTTTTGAACTTCTTCAGACTGTGAACATCTGAGCTCCTTCCCTTACATGCTGGGTGCAAAATTCTGAAACTACCTATAATTGGAGTTCAGGGGATTAATTGATTACAGCAGAATCTGTGCCCTCTGAATCTGGCTGCAACCAAATAAAACTGTTTCCCTATCTTTACTGCTATCTTAGGTGCCTTGCCTTGCCCATCCTAGAACAATATAATTATATACATTTAAACATTGTTTATGTTTTCAGGAAATGGTAAACAGATGTGATTAATTGTGTACTGCAAATAACCAAATATCTCTTATTAAATTGGAATAATTTACAAGTATTATTTACAAGTATTATTTCAAAGTGTGAATAAAAAAAGAGTTAACAGATGGGAAAGAGAAATTAAAAGGTTCTAAGTATGGATTTAATAGAAAAAAATGTGTTTCTGGATAAGAGAGTCTATTAAGTAAATAAGAGGGTTTAAGCAAATGATAAAGAAGGTCTGTGTACATTGGCTATATAAGTTTAAGCAAGTGATAAAGAAGGTCTATGTACACTGGTTATGTACGTAAGTTTTTTGAGCAAGTAATCTTGAAGGAATTCAGGATTATACAACTATGGTTAAACAACAACTGTTATTTTGCAATATTGTAATATGTTATTTCTTTAAGAGCTAAACTTGATTAATATGAAAACATCAATGTAATTGTGGTACTATCACTCTTCTTTGTATATTAAATGTGTTCATATTTCCAGGTATATAAGTCTTTAAGATAGAAGCTTTAAAAAATTATATCTATCTGATGTTCTCCAAAAGGTTGAATGGTAAACTTAGGCTTATAAAAATAACATATTGGAGATGTATTTATATCATTTAATGTTCTATAACTGGACCTGTTATGAATAAGATTAATATAAAGTTCTATACACTGGGTACAATTTAAATGTAATATCATATTGTGTTAGCTAATATTCATGTGACATCAA